TCGGTAAGGAACAATGCAATAACAGATTAAAAACACACTTAAGGGAACCAACAGTAGAAGAACTGAGGGAGAAAAAAGGATAAGTGAGCTGGAAGATGAAATGGTGGAAACAAATGAAGCAGAGCAGAGAAAAATGAATAAAAATAAAAGAGAACAGCCTTAGAGACCTCTGGGACAATGTTAAGCACACCATTATTTGAATCATAGGCATTCCAGAAAAAGAAGGCCAAAGGAAAGGTCATAGGAATATATTTGAAAAGATAATAGTCAAAAATTTACCGAAAATGGGGACAGAAACAGCCACCTAACTCCAAGAAGCTCAGAGAGTCCCATACAGGATAAACCCAAGGAGAAACATGCCAAACACATATTAATCAAAATAGCAAAAAATTAAACACAAAGAACAAATATTAAAATCAGCAAAGGAATAGTAACAAATAACATATATGGGGATCCCCATAGGGAAAACAGCTGATCTTTCAACAGAGACCCTGAAGGCCAAAAGGGAATGGCAGGATACACTAAAAATGAAGAAAGGGAAAAACTGACAGCCAAGACTACTCTACCCAGCAAGGATCTAATTCAGATTCAAAGGAGAAGCCAAAAGCTTTATAGACAAGCAAAACCTAAGGGAATTCAGAACTACCAAAGCAGCTCTTCAACAAATGCTAAAGGATATTCTCTAGATAGGAAATACAGGAAAGTTTTATAAAAATAATCCAAAATAATAAATGGTAGCAGGATTATACATATCAATAATTACTTTAAATACAAATGGTTAAACATTCCAACTGTAAGACAAAAACTGGATGAATGAATACAAAAACTAAGCTCCTATATATGCTGTCTACAAGCAACCTACCTCAAACTTAGGGACACCTACAGACTGAAAATAAGTGGTTAGCAAAAGATATTTCATGCAAGTGGAGACCAAAAGAAAGTTGGAGCATCAATATTCATCAGATAAAATAGACTTTAAAATAAATACTATTATAAGAGACAAAAATAAAAAAACACACAAAATGACCCAGACATCAGTCAAGAAGAAGATATAGCTATCATAAACATATATGTACCCAACATAGGAGCACCTAGGAATGTAAGGCAAATGTTAACAAATATTAAAGGAGAAATGACAGTAACACAATAATAATGGAGGGCTTTATTTAATACACCACTCACATCAATGGACAGATCATCCAGACAGAAAATTAACAATGAAACACAAGTTTTAAACAATACTTTGAACCAGTTAGACCTGGGCATAATTGATATCTCTGGGCATTTCACAAAAAAATAATGGGTTTCCATTTTTCTCAAATGCACATAGAACATTCTCCAGAATAGATCACATTCTAGGCCACAAATCTACCCTTCATTGTTGTTGTTTAGTCGCTCAGTCATGTCCAACTCTTTGAGACCCTATGGACTGCAGCACACAAGGCCTCACTGTCTTTCACCATCTCCTGGAGCTTGTTCAAACTCATGTCCATTGAGTTGATGATGCCATCCAACCATCTTATCCTCTGTTCTCCCCTTCCCCACTTGCCTTCAATCTTCCTCAGCATCAGGATCTTTTATAATGAGTTCACTTATTGCAAAATGTGGTTCCAGGATTGGAGCTTTAGCTTTGCCATCAGTCCTTCCAAAGTATATTGAGGACTGATTTCCTTTAGGATAGACTAATTTGATCTCCTTGCTGTCCAAGGGACTCTCAAGAGTCTTCTCTAACACCACAGTTCAAAAGCATCAATTCTTTGGCACTCAACCTTCTTTATGGTCCAGCTGCCACATCCATACAAGACAACTTCAAAAACCATAGCTTTGACTATATAGAACTTTATTGGTAAAGTGATATCTCTGCTTTTTAATATATTGTCTAGGTTTATCAAAGCTGTTCTTCCAAGAAGCAAGCCTCTTTTAATTTCATGGATACAGTCACCATCTACAGTGATTTTGGAGCCCAGGAAAATAAAGCCTGTCACTGTTTCCATTGTTTTGCCATCTATTTGCCATGGAGTGATGGGACCAGAAACCATGATCTTCACTTTTTGAATGTTGAGTTTTAAGTCAGCTTTTTCATTCTCCTCTTTTACCTTCATCAGGAGACTCTTTAGTTACTCTTCACTTTCTGAAATAAAATTAGAGTTATCTGCATATTTGAGGTTATTGATATTTCTCCCGGCAAACTTAATTCCCTTGTCATTCATCCAGTCTGACACTTCTCATGATGTACTATGCATATAAATTAAATAAGCAGGATGAAAATATACATGTTTTACCTACTCCTTTCCCAATTTGGAACCAGTCCTTTTTTCCATGTCTCGTTGTAACTGTTATTGCTTCTTGACCTGTATAAAGATTTTTCAGAAGGCAAGTAAGGTGGTCTGGTATTCCCATCTCTTTAAGAATTTTCTACAATTTGTTGTGATCCACACAGCCAAAGGCTTTAGAGTAGTCAATGAAACAGAAGTAGATTTTTTTTTTCTGGAATTCTCTTGCTTTTGCTATGATCCAAAGAATGTTGGCAATTTGATCTCTGGTAAATCTCTGGATTTTTTTTTTTAATGAAATAATTTCAAGCATCCATTCTGGTAAGAATTCTGTAAGTTTAGATATCAACTACAGAAAAATAAATACTATAATAAGCACAAACATATGAAAGCTAGACAACACATTTCTGAATAACCAACATATCACTGAAGAAATAAAAAAGGAAATAAAAAATATTCATGGAAACAATGATAATGAAAACAAGATGATCCAAAATCTGTTGGATTCAATAAACAGTCCTAAGAGGGAAGTTCATAGCAATACATGTCTACCTCAAGAAACAAGAAAAATATCAAATAAAAACCTAACCTTAAACAAAAAGCAACTAGAGAAAGAACAATGACAACAAAAACTTAGTAGAAGGAAAAAAAAAAATAAAAAATCAGAGCAGAATTTAATGACCAAGAAATGAAGGAGACTATAGGTCAGTAAAGATGGTTCTTTGAGAAGTTAAACAAAATAGGCAAACTGTTTGCCAGAATCACCAACAACAAAAGGGAGAAGACTCAAATCAATAAAATTTGAAATGAAAATGGAGAAATTACAACAGGCAACACAGAAATACAAACAAGCATAAGAGACTACTATGAGCAACTATATGCTAATAATATGGGCAACTTGGGAGAAATGGAGAAATTCTTAGAAAATTATAACTTTCCAGAACTAAAATAGGATGAAATAGAAAATGTGAACAGACTAATCACAAGCATGGAAATAAAAACTCTACTCAAAAATTTCCAACAAGCAAAATCCCAGAACCATATGCCTTCACAGATGAATTCTACCAAAAATTTAGAGAGGTGCTAACACCAATCTTAGTCACTCTTCCAGAATATTTCAGAGTAAGGAAAAATCCTAAACTCATTCTATGAGACCATCATCATATTAAAACCTAAATCAGACAAAGAAGCTATGAAAAAGGAAAACTGCAGGCCAATATCACTTATGAACACAGATGCATCAAAAAAACTCAAAACCTCAAAAAATTCTAGCAGACAGAATCCAAGTACATGTTAAAAAGCTCATGTATCATGACCAACGGGCTTTATTGCAGGGATACAAAATTTTTCAATATTCACAAATCAATCAGTGAGAACAAGACAAAGGTGACCATTCTCACCACTACTGTTCAACATAGTTGAAGAAAAAAAGTAGTGAGATGACTCTAGATTGGAAAAGAAGAAGTAAAACTCACTGTTTCCAGATGGCATGTTCTTTACACAGGAAACCCCAAAGATGCCACCAGAAAAACCAACAAATATATTAAAGTTGCAGGATTAAATTAATACACAGAAATCCATTGCATTTCTATATGCTAACAATGAAATATCAGAAAGATAAATTAAGGAAACAATCACACTCACCATTGCAATGGAAAGAATAAAATACTTATGAATAATTTTACCAAGGAAACAAAATATCTGTATCAGAAAACTATAAAACATCAATGAATGAAGTCAAAGATGACACAAACAGATGGAAAAATATACCATTTTCTTGGATTGGAAGAATCAGTATAGCAAAAATGAGTATTCTACCCAAATAAATCTATAGATTCAATGCAATCCCTATCAAATACTCAATGATACTTTTCACAGAACTAGAAAAGGATAATTTCACAATTTGTATGGAAACACAAAAGACCCTGAATAGCCAAAATAATCTTGAAAAAGAAGAATGGAACTGGAGGAATCAATCTTTCTTACTTCAGGCTAAAGCAAAGCTACAGTCACACAGTATGGTACTGGCACAAAGACAAAAAATATAGGTAAACAGAACAAAGTAGAAAGTCTAGAGATAGATTCAAACACCTATAGACAACTTACCTCTCACAAAAGAGGCAAAAATATTCAATGGGGAAAAGACAGTCTCTTCAATAAGTGGTGCTGGGCAAACTACTCACCCATGTGTAAAATAATGAAACTAGAACACTATCTAACACCATACACAAAAATAAACTCAAAATGTATTAAAGACCTAAATGTGTGACCCAAAACTATAAAATTCTTAGGAAAAAACAGTCAGAACACTCAAATAAATCACATCATGATCATCTATGATCTACCTCCCAGAGTAATGGAAATAAAAACAAAAATAAGCAAATAGGACTTAATTAAACAAAAAATTTTGCACAACAAAGGAAAACTATAAGCAAGGTTAAAAAAAAAAAAAAAACAAAAAGCTGCCCTCAGAATGGGAGAAAACAATAGAAACAAAACAGCTGATGAAGCATTAATCTCCAAAATATATGTGTGGCTCATACAGCTAAATACCAGAAAACAAACAACCCATTCAAAAAAGGACAAAAGACCTAAACAGACATTTATCCAGAGAAGAAATACAGGTGACTAATAGTGACACAAAAAGATGATCAATATCACTCATTATTATAGAAATGTAAATCAAAACTCCAGTGAGGTATCATCTTGTGTCAGTTAGAATGGCTATTATCTCATCAAAAAATCTACAAACAATAAATGCTGGAGAGGGTGTGGAGAAAAGGGAACCCTCTTATACTGTTGGTGGTAATGCAAATATGGAGAACAGTGTGAAAAGTCCTTAAAAAAAAAACAAAAAATACTGGGAATAGAATTGCCATATGACCCAGCAATCCCACTGCTGGATATATACTCTGAGGAAACCTGAATTAAAAGACACACAATGAACACAATGTTCATTGAAGTATTATTTACAAAAGCTAGGACATGGAAGCAACCTAGATGTCCATCAGCAGATGAGTGGATAAGGAATTTATGGTACATATACACAATGGAATATTACTCAGCTATAAAAATAAATGTATTTGAGTCAATTCTAATAAGGTGGATGAATCTGGAGCCTATTATACAGGGTAAAATGGGTCAGAAAGAAAAAGACAAATACTGTATATTAACACATATAAATGGAATTTAAAAAGATGATACCAATGATTCCACATGCAGGGCAGTAGAGAAGACACAGTTATAAAGAACATATTTTTGGACTCAACTGGAGAAGGCAAGGTTGGAATGATTTGAGAGAATAGTATTGAAACATATACATTACCATATGTAAAATAGATAACCAGTGTGAATTTGATGCATGAAGTAGAGCACCCAAAGCTGGTGTACTGGGGCAATTTAGAAGGGAAAGGTGAGGAGAGAAGTGGGAGAGGGGTTCAAGATGAAAGGGACACATGTATATCTATGGCTATTCATGTTTATGTATAGCAAAAACCATCACAATATTGTAATTATCCTCCAGTTAAACAAATTAATTTTAAAAAGGTGTTTAAGAATGCTATTAAATGTTGTATATTGATCTCAGTTCTTACAAATTAGAGGATTATATTATTCCTCTTAAAAATTTTCAATGAGTAAAATCATATTTTCAGAAACAGTGATGGCTTTGTTTCTTGGGCTTTAAAAAATTTTAGCTTATATTTTTAGCTTGCATTTTACTATCTTGAAATCTAGTGCAAAATCAAATAGAATTTTTTAATCTCTTATTTTGAGGAATGCTTCCATAAAAATTTTTATTAAACTAAAACTTCACTTCCAGAGTAATTACTAGCTTATTAAAAAATATCAGCAATGTTTCCTATATGACTGCAATTGCTTTGCTAGCATGTTGTTTAGAATATTTACATCAATGCACCTGAAAAATCAGCTTGTATTTTTCTAACTTTGCCTCTGCTTCTCTGGTTTTGTATCAGTTTTGTTAGTTAGTTTAGTTGCTAAGTCGTGTCCAACTCTTGCGACCCTATAGACTGTAGCCTACCAGGCTCCTCTGTCCATGGGATTCTCCAGGCAAGAATACTGGAGTGGGTTGCAATTTCCTTCTCTAGTCAGTTTTGTACTAGCCGTGAAAGAAACTTAAGAAGTTTATTTCTCTTTTTATTATATGGAAGCATTTAAATAAAATTGAGCTTATCAATTCTTAAAAGCTTTGTAAGACACTTCTCTACAGTCCTTTGTGTCTCTTCTTCTTCTTTTTTTCCAGTAGATATAGCAAATAAAATTTACTGAATTTATTATTTATTGATTCATTTGTCTTTTCATTTCTTTATGTCCTCATTTGCTAATTTACTTTTTCTAGAATGCCATCAATGTTATGTACTATATTCTCATGATTTTTCTGTTTATGTTTATCTCTATTTATTATATCTCTTTACCGCTAACATTGTCTTTGTGCTTATTCTATTTTTTCATACTCAATACTGGTGAATGTCTGTTATTTAAGGAGTCCTTTTTAAAGGAAGCATCGTGCTTAGTGGCTCAGACTGTAAGAATCTTCCTGCAATGCAGGAGACCTGTGTTCAGTCCCTGGATTGGGAAGATCCCCTGGAGAAGGAAATGGCAGTCCATTCCAGTATTCTTGCCTGGAAAATTCCATGGACAAAAGAGACTGGCAAACTACTGTCCATGGGGTCACAACGAGTTGAAGAGGACTGAGTGATTAACACTTTCACTTCACTTTTAAAGGAAAAGTTTTTTTTTTTTTTTTTTTTTTTTAAGAATCTGCCCAAATTTTTGTTTTGTTCTGTTACTGTCTCATTATATATATGTGTGTGTGTGTGTGTATATATATATATATATATATATATATATATATATATATAAATCTTTATTATTTGCTTTCTTCTATTTTCTTAATGGTTAAGTATTTTTCTGACTTCTCAAGTTGAATACTTAGTTCATATGTTTTCCTTTCTTATTTTATATCTGTATGTATATTTTACAACTTATGCTTATATATGCATATACTATGTGCATGTGTTTTTATTTCTAATTATGTAGAAATTTGTTGCAGTCTTTGTGTTATTGGGTTTTTAATGTTATCATGCATTAGTCAGAGAAGAAAGTTTATCTCTGTATATTTTTGATCATTGTGATGTGTTTTTGTATGTTTTGGGATCTTTGGTTCCACGTGGAGAAATACAGGAATGTCTACATCACAAGTCTTTGTACTGGTAGTTAACCATTACAATTCAAATTTCAGTTAACCATTATAATTGAAAACCTGTACAATTTCAGTCTCTCTTTTTTAGAGAGGTAGTGTGGTGCAGTGGTTAGCAATTCAGATTTCAGAACAAATCTGATTGCACTCAAATCCTGGTGTGGCCACCTACTTTATGTGTCCCTTTAGGAACATCTCTTAAGCTCTATTTCCTTTTATTTCATTATTTGTAAAATAGAAGTATTAATAGTGATTACTTCATAATGCAGTTGTGAGGATTAAAGTAGTGACTTAAATATACAATATCCCTTACAATAATAAAAATGTTTCAAATAATCTTAACAAACAATAAAAAATATTACTTATTATGGTAGTATTTGATATCTAGAGAATCATTTTATTTTGTAATGCAGTTCAGCATGTACTGAAATATCTATTCAGCATTCTGCATGTATGTAATTGAAGTGCTGCATCTTCTTAGTCAGTAGCTCAGATGGCCATGTTGCCAAAATTTCTCTACTGACATTCACTTTCCAGAAATGTTAACATTTTCTTTCCCATTGCTGACATTTCCCACACTCTTAGCTGTTCTTTATCTAATAATGTCTGTCTTTCTATACAAGCACACCCAGTTATACCATCTTAAATCACAAGCCCAATTTATTTTAGACAATTACCAATTGTTTGCTAAATAACAAAAATTTACTGAAGCTTTGAAATATGGAAAGAAAAATCATCAATAAGAAAGCAAATTAATTTATGGATAAGAAGAAAGATGCACAGGTATCATAATAACTTTCTGAAAAAAAAATTAACTCGACCTGTGATGTTGGTTAAATAATAACTTAGAAAAATTATTCCAAATCATTCTAGTTGCAAGGTTTGATGAGTGATCAAAGGAGGAGGTGACCCAGTTTGTGGTCCTTGTCTTCAGATGGGCACCATTTCCTTTCACCCTGCTGCTGAGAGCAAGTCATGACTAGTTCTCTTCACTCAATAAAGTGCAAGCATTATATGCAATACAACTAGAACATTCACTTTGCTTCTTCCACTTTATTTCCACTCATCCACCGTTTTAATTGAAATTCTTTCTTAGAAGACCCCAAAGAACAGTTCATTTGTTTCCACTTTAATTGAAAGACAAAAGGTTAAACATGGATGCTGTGCTGATAAAAATGCTTCTTGAAGCTGATAAATGGTTAAATTTCCTGTGATTTTCTGGAGAAGAGAAAAAGAACAGAAAATCAACATAGTAATCCCTGGAAGTCTTCAATCTAATCCTTACTGTGATTCTTTTTCTTATTTTCTTCCACATGCTTTTGCCATTCCCCCTACCTTCTGTTGGTGACCTTTGTAGTTATTTACCAATAAGTAATCAGAATGATCTTTGTAAAGTCTAAGTGAGATTATACCATTTTCCTGAATTTCACTCTGCCATTTCTCCCACTCACATTCTCTAGCCAGCTTTCTTTTTGCAGCATCTAAACAACTTAAGCATGCATCTGCCTCAGGAGCTTACTTCCTGCTTCTGGTGTTGGGATGCATTTTCCACATAGAACCATGAGGTTCACCCCACTACTCTATCCGTTCTGATTTCAAATCATTTCATCATTTCAAACCAGCCTTTCCAAAGTGATCTATCTATAACAGTACAGTGTCTATCATTTTGTGTCTCTTTAGCCTTTTTTATTTATTTATTTTCCCTTAGCTCATACCACTCTCTGATATATATCTACTTGCTTGTATATTTAGATTCTGTTTCCACTCACTAGAGTATGAGCTTTTTGAGAGCAAGGATCCCATTTATCTTGTTCACTGGTATATTCTAAGCATCTATAATAGAATTTGGAACATAGTAAGTGCTTGATAAATATTAGTCAAATAAATAATTCAACCCCCAAATGTGGTTCCATAGGGCTAATTAGAAACTAAAAGTTATTCTGCTGAAGTATCCATGGGTTTATGTAACCAGAGTGTCAGAAACCAGGAGTAGAAGATGGTAGGTAAATATTTCTAGCAATGAGATGGCGTTTACAATAAAATATAATCTTTTTTAAACTTTATTTATTTATTTATTTTAATTGGAGGCTAATTATTTTACAATATTGTGGTGGCTTTTGCCATACATTGAGATGAATCAGCCATGAGTGTGTAAGTGTCCCCCCATCTTGAACCACCCTCTCACTTCCCTCCCCACCCCACCCCTCTGAGTTGTCCCAGAGCACAAGCTTTGAGTGTTCTGCTTCATGTATTGAACTTACACTGGTCATCCTTTTTACCTATGGTAATGTACATGTTTCAATGCTATTCTCTCATATCATCCCACCCTTGCCTTCTCCCACAAAGACCAAATATCTGTTCTTTACAACTATATCTCTTTTACTGTCTTGCATCTAGGGTCATTGTTACCATCTTTCTAAATTCCATTTATATGCATTAACATACTGTTTTGGTGTTTCTTTTTATGACTTACTTCACTCTGTATAATAGGATCCAGCTTCATCCACCTTATTAGAACTGACTCAAATGCACTCATTTTTTTTTTATCACTGAGTAATATTCCATTGTTTACATGTACGACAACTTGTTTATCTATTTTTCTGCCAAGGGACATCTAGGTTGTTTCCATGTCCTATCTATTGTAAACAGTGCTGCAATGAACATTGGGGTACATGTCTTTTTTCAATTCTGGTTTCTCCGGTCTGTAAGCCCAGCAGTGGGATTGCTGAGTCATGTGGCAGTTCTATTCCCTGTTTTGTTTTTTTTTTTTCTGTTTTTTTTGTTTGTTTGTTTGTTTTTTAAGGAATCATGACACTGTTCTCCATAGTGGCTATGCTAGTTTGCATTCCCACTAACAGTGTAAGAAGGTTCCCTTTTCTCCACACCCTCTCCAGTGTTTATTGTTTGTAGCCTTTTTATGATGGCCATTCTGACTGGTACAAGATGATACCTCATTGTGGTTTTGATTTGCATTTCTCTGATAATGAGTGATGTTGAGTGTCTTTCCATGTGTTTGTTAGCCATCTGTAAGGCTTCTTTGTAGAAATGTCTGTTTAGTTCTTTGGCCCATTTTTTGATTGGGTTGTTTATTTTTCTGGTATTGAGTTTCATGAACTGCTTGTATATTTTGGAGGTTAACTCTTTGTCAGTTGCCTCATTTGCTATTATTTTCTCCCACTCTGATGGCTGTCTTTTCACCTTGCTTATAGCTTCCTTTATTGTGCAAAAGCTTTTAAGTTTATTTAGGTCCCATTTATTTATTTTCATTTTTATTTCCATTACTCTGGGAGGTGAGTCATAGAGGATCTTGATGTGATTTATGTCAGAGAGTGCTCTGCCTATGTTTTCCTCTACGAATTTTATAGCTTTTGGTCTTACATTTAGATCTTTAATCCATTTTGAGTTTATTTTTATGTATGGTGATAGCAAGTGTCCTAGTTTCATTCTTTTACATGTGGCTTGTCAGTTTTCCCAGCACCATTTGTTAAAGAGATTGTCTTTTCTTAATTGTATATTTTTGCCTCCTTTATCAAAGATAAGCTGTCCACAGATGGGTGGATTTATCTCTTGGATTTCTATTTTGTTCTACTGATCTATATTTGTGACTTTCTGCCAGTACCATACTGTCTCAATGCCTGTAGCTTTGTAGTATAGTATGAAGTCAGGCAGTTTGATTCCTCCAGTTCCATTCTTCTTCCTCAAGATTGCTTTGGCTACTTGAGGCTTTTTGGTGTTTCCACACAAACTGTGACATTATTTGTTCTATTTCTGTGAAAAATACCATTGGTAGCTTGATAGGGATTGCATTGAATTGGTTGATTGCTTCAGGTAGTATGCTCATTTTCACTTTATTGATTCTTCCAATCCATGAACATGGTATATTTAGGTCATACCTGAATGGTATAGTGGTTTCCCCTACTTTCTTCAGTTTAACTCTGAATTTTGCAATAAGAAGCTCATGATCTAAGCCACAGTCAACCCCTAGTCTTGTTTTTGCTGACTGCATAGAGCTTCTCCATCTTTGACTGCAAAGAACATAATCAATCTGATTTTGGTATTGACCATCTGGTGATATCCACGTGTAGAGTTGTCTCTTGTGTTGTTGGAAGAGGATGCTTTCTATGACCAGTGTGTTCTCTTGGCAAAACTCTTAGCCTTTGCCCTGCTTCGTTTTGTGCTCCGAGGTCAAACTTGCCTTTTACTCCAGGGATCTCTAGACTCCCTACTTTTGCATTCTAGTCTCCTATGATGAAAATGACATCTTGTTTTTGGTGTTAGTTCTAGAAGGCCTTGTAGGTCATCATAGAACCCTTCAACTTCAGCTTCTTTCACATTAGTGATTGGATTACTTTATAGACTTTGGCATAGACTTGGATTATTGTGATATTGAATTGTTTGCCTTGGAAGTGTACAGAGATCATTCTATTATTTTTGTGATTGCACCCAATACTGGATTTTGGACTCCTTTTGTTGTCTATGAGAGGGGGATTCAGATGCATATATATAGAGTAAACAAATAGCATATTGCCAAATTACATCAACAAGGAACACCAATTTACTAATTGACAACTAAAGCAGTGAGCTGTCATTGGTCCTCACTATTAATATCACTTTCCTATTTCTTTTGCCTGCCAACAACATCTCGTGATACTTACTATTTTCAGTTGCCAGGAAAGAGGTAGAAATACCTTGTCATAGAAAGTCGTTCAACAGTGGGCATTTGAGCTTTAACATTTGGTTTTTCAAATGATTGTTGTACCTAAAAACAAAAAGAGATTCTAGGTGATACATATGTCTTATGCATCTCAAAAAATGTTTTGCAAAATAAGCCAAAGTTTTTTTTTTTTTTTTTTTTTTGAATGAAGGGTGCTCTTAGGATTGATGGAACCAAACTCTTGGGTATTTTAACTCCTTGTTGCTGCTATTCTACCTCTTAGATATAACACCCAATGTCAGAATAGTCTCTTTATTTCAAAACACATACCTCAGTCTCTCAGTCATGTCCGACTCTTGGTGGCCCCACAAAATTTTTGTCCAATGGAATTTTCTAAGGGTGAATAGGGGAAGTGCTATTCCCTTCTCCAGGGGATCTTCCTGACCCAGGGATGGAACTTGGGTTTCCTGCATTTCAAGCAGATTCTTTACCCTTTGAGCCATCAAGGCTCAAGCCCTATGCCTAAACTAAGTATTTTCAAATTTCATTTTCTCTACTTTCCATTTCTGATCTATAGATCTGATGATTAATTATCCTTTGGTGTTTGTTCATGAGAACTGAACCTCAGAGATCCTCTATCTTCTACATCCAATAAGTCTAACTCTTTAATTTAATACTGTAGGGTTTTGTCCATAAGGTCTGAATGATGAGCAAGATTCACAGTTCCACCACTAAGTTGATCTTTGAAGCTTTTTTTTTTTTTTAATCCCCATAGACTGATCAGTGAAATTGTAATTACTTAGATCCACTATTTCTAATCTTTTCTGAGGAATTCCCTTGAAAATGTAATGTTTAAATCTTATTCTTTCAATAAGACTTAACTTTCTATGTTCCTATTCACTGAGACCCTGACTCACTTTATGTTACAATTTTCTTCAATTCATGAAAGATATATTCTTCTTTTCCCACAGAAGTATTATTATTCTCTATGGTTTTAGTTTAAAAACAACCACAGTTTCCCATGTTTTTAATACTAGTAACTTTCTAACTGAAAAAGGAGGGACATTTATTCACACATTCATGCATTTATTTCTTCAATGACTATTAATTCCTACTTGCTAGCATATTGAGTATTGAATAAATCCCAGGCTTAATGAGCTTGCATTAAAGTAAGTAAATGAAGATAGCAAACACACAGATATATATTATCTGGGTGGTGGTAAGAGTTATGAAAAAAATAAATTAGGAAAGAGGGAGGAAATAGGGAATGTCCTGAGGTGGGGAATGAATATCGAGCCTTCCCTTCTGGGCCACTCTATTCAAAGAATTTTTTCACCTCTGTCTCTTTCAAGCATCCTTGCTGTTCAGTTTCTAAGTCATTGATATTCTTTGCAAGCTGTTCACATTTCCTAGGACCTTCTCTTCATGGATCCTACCACAACCTGTATCATACAATGTGTTTGTTGGAATATTTATTCAATACCCATCTCTATTATAAGAAAGTAAGTTCTAGGTAGCCTTATATCACCTGTGTCTCACTTACATCTGTGTCACAAATATATAACCCATTACTAAGTAGATCACTATATATATTATATATATATATTAATTTAACACTATATATATTAAATGAAGCAGTGAAAATTAATCCAATATGCTTTCCATTCTTTGAATTATAAGAACTTATAGCCCATATGATACATGCTCACATTTTTTTATATTTTGTTCTTCTGTGGTACATTAATGCAGTCTTTTTGTAAATCAGATATTAAATACCTAGATTAAAGAAACCAAGTGCTACTCTACTTTTGTGTGTCTGAAAAAATCTGTCATTGTCACTTGAAAAGCAAATAATATTTAAGTTTTCCTTAACAAATAAATGATTAGAAAAAAAAAAAAAAAGATGAGCTTACCTTCCTAAATACTTCCTCGAGATGACAGCACCAAGCATATTCTTGGAAGCATGTGATGAGTCGTGTAATGAAGAGAGAACCTTTTTTGATGTCTCTCCAGGACACATTATCTATGATGATAGGCAGTGGTAAGCCTTGGGCTGTGGTGTTAATAATTTTTTTTTTAACTTTTTTTTGTCTTTTAAAACAAAAATGTATCTTGGGAATTATCTTGACATATTTAGGGGAAGAATTTACAACCTTCCATTAACTCATTTTCCAAAAGAAGTTCAACTAAAGAAGCTGATCATCACAACTGAAGTTCATTTCATGGAGATTGCATTGTCTTTTGGAGACTGACTCTCTACTATGTGACTTATGTTTATCCACTTGGCTTTGAAAAGAGACTTGAGAGATGATTGTAATTATCCTATTTTACAGAGGAAGGAGTACAGGTTCAAAAGGAAGAATTTCCCCATAATCATACAGGTGGTTGTTTACAGATTATAAACCATGATGTCTTTCACAATATAGGGAACAAAATAAATGAAGAGATCTAATGAAACTTTTGGAAGGGAGGCATATGCTTTTGGTATATCAGATAACAGATGGTGGTATAGATAGTGGTATATACTTATCTCCCTAACTCATTAAACTATATACATTAAACATGTAGAGCTTTTTTTATGTTAATTATGCCTCCATAAAGTGATGAGTTATTAAAATTTTCAAGTTAAAGATGCTCAGATATAAGGCCTCTCAAGATGATTATGTGAAGTTTAAGAAATAAGTGCTGTTCCCTTACTAATAATAAGCCCCATTTTATCATTTTCTTCTTCTTTTAAAAGGACATGCACCTACTTGCTAGTGCATGCTTATGGTGCTACTCTAAGAAGCGCAGATGAGAAATAATAGAGAAAATAAGTTGGAGTTGATAATTTTTAAGAAAGGGCAGTCAGTCCTTAGATTCATAAAAACTATATTCAAAATGTTAAATGGATTTAATAGAAAACTGAATCAATAATCTGTTTTTAACCAGTGTGATGGTAAAGGGATTATCTTTTATTATGTTGTTTTAATGATTACTATACCTTTGGCTGTAAAGTGAAACAGATAATAAAAATCAATTTTTAAAAGTGAAGAAAAAGTAAAATATATTGACAGTATTCAAAATTTGTATCAAATCATTGCTACTCATTTTTTTTCTTTTTGAATCATTCAGAGATAGCCTTAGACCCACAAACCCCTGTCTGCAACTGACAGACACATACGTGGCGTTGAGGAACAGAAGGCAATGAAATCCTTCTCCACGTGGGTCTTGTAAACAGCGTCTTCTTCCAGGTTCTCAGATGACTGGGAACAGCCGTCCACTAGGGCTGCTGGAGAGTCACTGACCCACAGTTCCCCGCGGTTTGCTGCAGAGACATCAGCTTTCTTCACACTGTGTGTCTCCCTCAGTGTGACTACTGCAATTACCTCATTATTTTACAATGTTTACTTTAACTAGTTTTATACACAGAAGTACACACAGAAATATACAAATGTGAGTGCATCTCCACCCAGCACTGCTTCTTCCTTATGTCATTGAGCAATATGCCAATTATGAGTAAAAACATGGTAAAACTGGAGGAATACCTTTGCTGAGAATAACAAATAATAATCTCAGAGCATATTTACAATTTTACAGCTAAAGTATTTCTACATTTCATCTTTAAAAACTGCTCTAAAAGTTAAAATGGTGATTGGGAGTCAGAAAAAAAAAAAGAAGAAGAAAACAAAAAGTTTCCCTGAAATCCCAAGTTTTCTCATCTCCCAAGTTATTTTCATTTCAATAATCTAAGAGGAAAAAAAGTATAATATATTGCTATTATATAATATCCCAACTTTCAAATGAAGTTCCTCTCAAGCCAGAGAACATCAAAATGTCTGTAAAACATTTACAAGCAAAGCAATCATTTAAATTATTTTATTCCAAAGTTAAAATATTTGTGTCTAATTTTTTTGAGGATTCTAGTGATCTCCTTCATCACTTAGTTTGGATTAAATTTATCAGCTAATTTATCAGAAATTTATCAGCTAACAAATCTCATGAGACCAGCCGCCTAAATGGAATTTCCTAATAATTCAATTTAGTTTAAGATTGTTTCACCTAGAAATAAAACAGCATTACAAACACCTTTATGATCTTTATGAACTTTGGATTCTTCCTCTCACAACTCACCACCTCTGCAGGCCTGGACAATGATGACTTTAGGTTTGTCCTTTAGATTGAGGCAATTACGGTTGTTGAATGTCCGGAAGATGGTGTCATAAGGTAGCACATCTGGTTTTTCATCACTGTGCATAGTCCCGCAGATCCCATCCAGGATGCCATGAGACATGAACACCAAGAATGTACTGTCTGAGGATTTGTGCTCTTCACGTGCAGCAAATTTCCACAGCACTGATTCCATGTCCTGAAAAGACCACAAAGTCTTACTTCAATAAGACAAACATTAAAATTAAACTGACCTCCTATTTATTATGATCAGTATAAGAAATGTCTGTAACATTTCAGTCACAGTGTCTTTACAGAGTGGATGTTCAATGATAATTTTATTTTTGTTTCTATAATGGATCAGTAGACTCAAATTTTGCTCCTGATATAACCTGTTCTGTAATATATTTTACATTTGTTTATTGTCACCATATACTTTCCCTTTCAACTGTTTCCTTTCTCTCATTACTTAATAAGAAACTTGAATAATAAACATATCATACCATTTTCCTTCTAAAACACTCCCCATCATACTTAGAATATAATAAAACTTCTGACATGAGCAAACTTCTCCTGACATTCTTCCTCCTCTTCTGCTTATATAGATCTCTTCCTACTATTCATTTAATAGTTCCATATTCAGTTCAGACTTTTCACCTGTAGTCATGCCTTCTTGGAATATATTTCATTCACATCTTTCTAGAGCTATCTTGTCTCTGACAGTCATGTGTCAGAGCCCATATTATCTCCTCAAAGATGTTTTTCTTGGTCATGATTGTCAAACAGTATTAATTATTGTTATGTTATCAGTAAAACAATCAAACATTATTACTCTTCATTCACCAATGTGTTCTTTTGTTTCCTTTTTCCTTTTCACATATATCTGTATGTGAAAATACAGATACATCAAATCTCTGAAATGTTCTGTTTTGCTTATGGCTTGATCATTCCCTGCCACCCAGCAAGTTAACCTACATCAGTGTGAGCTGGGAACCTTCTGTCTCATTTACTGACCCATCCCCCATGCCAACATAGCCCCTGGCAGAGTCAGGATTCAGCATTTATGTGAATGCTGTGAATAGCAGTTCACTCTTGCTAGCATTCTTTACTCCAGAATTTTCTGGGAAATACTAGGGCTGAATCTCGATCTTCACACTTCAGAATTGTGTGAGTATACATGCCCATCAGTTTTTTTTTTTTTTTTTGGTCAGGTTTTATGGAATTAAGGATGATTGAAACTCTAAAGCGACACAGATTTCACCTATCTTAATATTTACTTTACAACACACATTCACACCCTTAGACATACACATGCACATAAATGAGACCTATGGCTGTTAAAGCATTTGCTTAGTATTATAAAGTTCCCTAGTTAGTAGGAGGATAAGTGTTGAATATGTGTCAGGGTGCGTGAGGGACCCTTACGCTGGCTGTGAGTTTCTCTTCCACTTCCACAGTGTAGCCAAGACCCTCAAGCAGCTGCTTCATTCCGAGGATGTCAAGGGCAGCACCATCCCTGGGAGGCAGATGATCAAAGTCTGTATTGCATATGATGAGAGCCAGACGAGTGCGGTCCTTTCTCTGCTTTATTGGATAGATCTACAGGAAATTGATATGCAACGAGTTTTACTTACCAAAATCTCTCTTAAACTTTCATATACCAATCATTGCTGCTTTTAAGGGCTTGCATAATTGTCCCCTCTCCTATCCCATACAAGAAGACACTGCCCTTCCTCTGTCTTACTAATGGATTAAACTGACAATAGAAAAAAGTACAAATTGAAAGTGAATTATCATCCAAAACATATTTGTGATGGTTACTCAAGAATCTTGAGGAGACTAGAACAACTCCTACCCTCTCCTTCTTGCCTTTCTTCTACACCTAGTCAAATCTTTCTTAACATTCAAGATTCAGGTCAAATTGTGTAAAAACTAGGAGATATTTGCCATTGGCTCCAGCTGAAAATAAATACACCAAAGATCATTTGCCTTAGGTAACATTATTCTGATACTACTTTTAACACTAACTTATTATGTTTTGCACATGTTAACATTTTTTTAACTAGATTACAACTGATTATTACTCAGCCAAGTTATTTCATAAATATTTTGATTCTATGACTACAGCTAAAATTCTAATAAATCCCAAATATAGTTTACAACAAATAAATGAAAAAATGAGAGACATATTTTATCATAGGGGAAGAGAACTGGAATTTGTGTGAGGCCATGTAATTTCTTCCTACTCAAAGTATTTATAAACAAAATTACCACTGTCCCCACCCTGCTGTTCAGTAATGACTGCTTTAAGAAATTGTATAATTAGTGAAAGCAGTTGTTTCTCTTCCTCCCTTTCATGTACAGAACACAGCACCTCTCCAGCCCTTTCTTTACACAGTTTCAGGAATTCTTCATGAGGGCAAAGCTTGAGGGTAGCTGCAGATCCTGCTGACTTGTCTGGTCCAGCCACAGTTTCCTCAGGAGCTGCATGATACATCACATGATATAATTGGTGATATCTGTCCCTGTGACCCAGTTATCACCCAAGAAAACTGACAGGGGACAGTCTGGGGAAAATATTTTAACACATTGGGTCATAGAAGATAGATGCATTATCACTGGGAAATAAGGGAGAAATACTTGGTAATAAGAACAGAGCTACTAACAAATGCAATAACAGATTATGATATTGTGAAAAAAATAACCTTGATGATTTGGGGTCAAATAACTTTGTTCCTTACTGACAAACAATTTTATTTTTCAAATAGTTTTATTCTAAGGTATTACTTATCTATGTGAACTTTCTCTTGTCTCTGAGCAAGAGCACATTGAGTAAATATTCATCAGTGTTATCTATTATAAATATAATTGAATCACATGTGCAATTTTAAATTTTCTAATGCCCACATTAAATAAGAATAGTATCAATTAATTTAAAATATTAACATCAAAAATATCATCATTTTAATGTGTTACTAGACACAATTTATGCACATAAAAACTAAGTCCAACATCTCAAGCTCATTCCTACTTCACACAACAAATACAGATACATACACCCCCAAATACTTAAAGGAATCTTGAATCTTGTATCACCCTGGTATTATTTTTTATTTTCAATCTCTCATGAATTCTTAACCTTTCCAGAGAAAATGAGCTTCAAGGATTCCTCATCAAGCTGTGAATTCAACTATTTAAAAGAGAAATGCTGTCTATTAACCATAGTACTGTACCCAGTGTCAAAAGGACAAATTTGTTAGAGATTCTACATTCTACATACTCTTAATGTCTTTGCCTCCAAATGCTGAATAACCAGCACTAGGTTTTCAACCCATATGAGGAAATAACTTCTTCTTGGAAATGTTTGTTTCTGACTCATTCTGCCTTAATCACTTGAGAAATGTAATATTTTCTGAAACTGGTTGGCCTCATTTGACTAAGATTGTGCAAAAGACTGGGAAAGTCCAAAGCCCTTCCTTTGAGAGGGGAGGAAAAGTCCTCATAAGCAAAAACCCGAAGAGAATCAGAAATGAAGTAATGGGAACTTCAAGATGAATTTAGCAATTGCAGGGTCCAGAACAAATTTTCAACTGAAATAGCATGTCCTATCAGAAGAGTCCGTGGCAGGCAGGAGGCAAGTATAGACCTATTTGTTAAAACAAATAGTTTGGATTCTTCCTATCTCCCACCCTGTTTCCTCAGTACTATGCTAAGAACCCTCCATGCCCCAAAGGCCTAATATTCTAATATTGCACATTCTAACTGCCCAAATTACCCAACTTCCTGACCTCCTAGACCAGGGTACTCTAGGTGTCCTAGGACTCTTCTGGAGGTTCCATGTACAGATGGAACTCAGGGGACTGCTGGATACTTCATGAAAGGGTCTGCACCCGCCTCCTGCCTGCCATGGATTCTGTGGACAGGTTATTTCAATTTAAGATTCATCCTTGTTTCTGGGATTGCTAAAATCATTTTGGAGCTCCCATTACTTCAATTCTGATTCCTATTTGTTGAATTATCTCTGATTGTATGTTGTCATATTTTATCTTATTTTTTTTTTTTCTTTTCCATCCTGGCTTAGTACAGGATATTGAGTATAGTTCCCTGTGCTGTACAGTAGGTCCTTGTTTATCCATTGTATATGTAATGGTTTGCATCTACTAACCCCAAAATCCCCATCAATGCTTCTCCCACACCTCTCTCCCTTGGAAACTACAAGTCTTCTCTCTGATTTTGTTTCTAAATCCAAATTATTTTTATCCCATCCCAGTTTAAGAGAAAGTAATAAGCTTGCACAAGGACCAACTTAAATATTAATAACATCTTGGATATCTGTTAGACCAGCATGTACTTCCTGATGGTGGTAGTGTCCCTTCTACATAGAGAAAGGCTTATTAAAAATACTTAGTTGCTGTAGTGAGGTCTCTACAATTGTGTGGCATTTCGTTTACTACAGCTTATTATTGATAAACTCCAGTATTCTAGGCTGCAGTTTCAGGTTAAATTATAACAAATTGAGTCCATCACTGGTGAACTTGGACCTGAGGATATTTAGACTCTAGTGATATTTAGAATTCAATTAAAGTGAAGTTTTGAAAGAGGTTAAGATATTGGACACTTTATAGACATTCTCCTAATCATATTTTGTAAACTCACAGGAATACATAAGCCTTGTAAAGGTATAAATATTATAAGCTAGAGAATAATTATGATAACTACTATTTATTGCATGCATGCATCCAACTTTTATTATATACCTTATAATATACTTTATATATATGCTATATCCTTGGTACTCTGCTAGGAGCTATTATTCATTGGTGAAAAAAAAAGTTGTGAACTGGATTAACAAACTCAGAGGATTGTAGTCTTATTTAATGAGATAGGGGATAGAAGTGGAACAGATTTGATGGGGAGAATTAAGTATTTCATTTTTTATATCTTAGCTTTGTGAAGTTAATACAGCAGTAAAGTGGAAATGTTGAATATGAAGCTAGAGCTAGGCATACCTGGAGCTCAGAGGAGAATTCCAGATGGGGGCTAGAATAATATGAATTGTCATCCCATACCTGCCATTATGTTCCTGGCCTTACAAAATCTGTGACAAAGTTAGTGAAATTGTTCCCATTTCACAGATGCTCATATTGATGCTTATGGTGGATAAGAAACTTGAATGAAGACACAGAGTGTCCAAAGTGACAGAAACCTAAGTTCGGGTTCAGATATTCCTTATTATAAAGTCTCTGTAGCTATCTCAATTAACAACCTAAATAGAAGACTCAGTTTCTCAGCTAATTGGAAATTGGATGCCCTCCCCAAAGTGAAAAGTGGCCTCTAAAAGGGCAATGATAGATTTAATTAAGATTATACATTAGTAATAGGAGGATGAGGGAACTATAGATGACAGTGGAACAGTCTTAGTGTCAAGTAGATTCTGAAAAAATTAAGATCTCCCTTGTAAAGAATTCTAGTCTTACCTTTTATACTGGTGGAATTTTTGTCTATGTTTAGGAAGGTTTGAACAAAGACTTGACCTGCCTCTTGGTTTTTCTGTCTTATAGAATCAACCAAGACTCGGGCTTTGTCTTGAAGTTTGGCATCATAAATTTTTTTCTTCTCCTCTTCCTCCAATTTCAGGACATTTTTTTCCACGATGTCATCCAAAAGGCCAGAAATGAGTTCTTTGCCCAAAGATTCCAACATCTTAAGTGGGTTTTTGTTGTGTTTGTCTTCTGTTAGAAATACAAAGCTTTAACTTGATCTCTTCTCAAAAAATCCAGAATTGAAAACAATCTGGTGGTTGATCTTTCAATATTATAGATCAGCCTGACACCAGGTTAATTTATTACTGCCTGGGATAATTAGAATTTTTGTGGGGAAATAAATAAGTCAAATTATTAAATATTTTGCTGTAACACCATAGATATTATTTGATCATGTAGTGTATGGGAAGACAGGATATCTCACCAATCCTTAATTAAACCTACAAGAGAGTTATACAGTCCATCTAGAAATAAAGATAGCCTTGACACAAAATGAGATAGTCTAAAAAAATTCACCAAGACATTGAACAAGAACTCTGGCCCAGAAGCATCTGCCTCATTGTCTATCTTCAAGTATTCTTTCAACAAAATGTTTACTGGACAACTTTTATGAGAAAGAAACATGGAAATTAACAAAACGTGAATAAAATTTTTTTTATCTGTTCATTTTTTTAATAACTAACATCTCTTAAAAGATAAGTATAAAGCAATATAAAATATTATTTACAAGTATACTAAGTAATTTATAAGTATTAATATGATAGACACTCACAATCATCCAGAGAGATGGTTAATACTTTCCCTATTTTACAGATCATTTAAATAAAATGCTGGATCACATTTCTGTTCTTATGCCATATTCTATAAATTTAGCCATAGCACAGCTTCAGTAAGTACAATTGATATTCATTAAGTCCTACTGGTCTCAAGTGTTTCATATGACTCTTCTCAATGTTAATAAAAAGTTCATGTAATAGATACATTAAAATTTCTATTATATGGTAAAAGAAACAAGCACAGAGCAGTTAGTTAAATATTTGACCAAAATTGTGTGAAGAGTACGCCATGTTTAGTAAGAGGGCAGGGAGGGATTCAAACTTAGAGATTCAGAATCCAGAATCACCACTCTTAAGTCATCAAGCTACTTTACATGATACTTGGTAAAGTGAAAGTGAAAGTCACTCAGTCCTGTCCGGTGTCCAGCTCTTGGCAACCCCATGGACTATACAGTCCATGGAATTCTCCAGGCCAGAATATTGGAGTGGGCAGCCTTTCCCTTCTCCAGGGGATCTCCCCAACCCAGGATCGAACTTGGTAAAGAGGTATTTAAGAGAATAGAAAGTCATTCATGGACTCAGAAAAGACTGGACACATTTCTTGAGGTGAGGGCACAAAAGGCTGCTCCTCAGAAAAAGTCACAGAAACATTGATCTTAAAGTACAGCAGACACGTCACAACAGAGAATTTGAAGAATTACAAACAACATACAATTAATGTATGAGATGTTTACTCTGATGGGATTCTATTTCATTTATTTCTGTCCTCAACAAGGTTGAATGTTGACTGAATGATTGGTACTAGGAGAAATATGGCAAACGATTAAAGGTTTGTATAATTTTGGCATTACATCCTCTTATTATCTACATGTACTCATGGCTTCATTTATTAGTTTTAAATAATAAATTAATTATTTAAATAAATAATTTCTGAATTTATAGATCAGTCCAAAGATGGATCTCAATATTAAGGCTCATATAGTCATTTTTTCTCTTCATACCACAAACTCATAAACTCAACTTTTAAAAGCTGAACTGCTCATTTTTCCTCACCTGCTTCATTCCCTATCAGTCAGTCAGACAGTTCAGTCGCTCAGTCATGTCCGATTCTCTGTGACCCCATGAATCGCAGCACACCAGGCCTCCCTGTACATCACCAACTCCCGGAGTTTACTCAAACTCATGTCCATCGAGTCAGTGATGCCATCCAACCATCTTATCCTCTGTCGTCCCCTTCTGCTCCTGCCCCCAATCTCTCCCAGCATCAGGGTCTTTTCCAATGAGTCAACTCTTCACCACTTTGAGGTGGCCAAAGTATTGGAGTTTCAGCTTCAACATCAGTCCTTCCAATGAACACCCAGGACTGAAATCCTTTAGGATGGACTGGTTGGATCTCCTTGCAGTCCAAGGGACTCTCAAGAGTCTTGTCCAACACCACAGTTCAAAAGCATCAATTTTTTGGTGCTCAACTTTCTCCACAGTCTAACTCTCACATCCATACATGACCACTGGAAAAACTATAGCCTTGACTAGACGGACCTTTGTTGGCAAAGTAATGTCTCTGCTTTTTAATATGCTACCTAGGTTGGTCATAACTTTCCTTCCAAGGAGTAAGCGTCTTTGAATTTCATGGCTGCAATCACCATCTGCAGTGATTTTGGAGCCCAGAAAAACAAAGTCTGACACTGCTTCCAATGTTACCCCATCTATTTGCCATGAAGTGATGGGACCAGATGCCATGATCTTAGTTTTCTGAATGTTGAGCTTTAAGTCAACTTTTACACTCTCCTCTTTCACTTTCATCAAGAGGCTTTTTAGTTCCTCTTCACTTTCTGCCATAAGGGTGGTGGTGTCTGCATATCTGAGGTTATTGATATTTCTCCCAGCAATATTTACTAGTAAATTATATCTTACAGTCAATTACTCCAAGTCAGTAAAAACTGGTGATATTGAACCTCTTCTACCATTTAGATTTTATTTTCCATCTCACATCAAACTGTATTGATTATATGTGCTAAATATTTGCAGACTCTGACTGCTTTTCCTTTTCTAATAGTTCAGTACTCCAGTTCAGACCAATATCTTTTCTTTTTTAATTACTCTAAGAATCAGATTAGTCTACTCTTGTACCTTTCTAATCAGTTCTTCACAATGATGCAGAGTCAGTGTTCTAAAATCTTTCGAATATACTTCACTGTGAAACGTCTCAGCTTAATGTAATCCAGGGCTTTCCTGGCGGCTCAGAGGTTAAAGCGTCGGCCTGCAATGTAGGAGACCTGGGTTCGATCCCTGGGTCGGGAAGATCCCCTGCAGAAGGAAATGGCAACCCGCTCCAGCATTCTGGCCTGGAGAATCCCATGGACGGAGGAGCCTGATGGGCTACTTTCGTCCATGCGGTCGCAGAGAGTCGGACAGACTGAGCGCCCTCCCTCACTGTGATCTAGGCCTTCTCGCTCAGCCTCGTCCTCGGCTGCCACACCCACCTTGCTCGTTATACTTTGAACGCTTTGCTCTTCATTCAGGTTCTAGAAAGCGATGTACAGTTTCTCACACCCGACATTCCTTATTCTTTTCTTTTTATCTTCCAGTCTCAAATGACATGCCATTTCCTCTTAGAAATGCTCCCTAATGCTAAAGACTAGACCGAGCCTCAGAGCTATATGCTCCCAGAGAGACTTGTTTCAACATAAGGTAGCATTTTTTCCCCTTATCGTTAACTAGTTAACAAAGTATGAGTGGGGTGAATGCAATAAACATTTTTTAAGGAAACTGAAATTTTGCTTTAGAGAGATTAATGAAAGGATGAATACATATTAATATATTCTGAAAAGTAGGAAAACCTGCCCGACAAGTTCAGACATTTTTGTTTGTTTGTTTTAATGGTAGTAAGGATCATTGCAATTTCCTGAGTGAGAAAATCTCACTAAGTTTAGATATCTAGAGCATAAGAAAGATAATGATCTATTCTTTCCTAACAATGCTAATCTGCAGACAAGCCTGATGCAGATACATAAGAATCATTTGTAGATCTTAAAAATATTACAAATCACAGCCTATTCATGACTGAGTAATTTAAGGTTAGGGAGGGGGAAATAATCTAAATTTGTTAATGTCTACAGATTATTTAGATTTATTGTAAAGTTTAGAAATCATTGATTTAATTGAACCTCTTCCTTTTCAAATGAAGAAAATGAAGCAAAGAAATCATTTAAAATGCTTGAATATTAGCTGCATAAATAGCATAAATAATAGCTGCATAAATAGACTCCATTTCTTATGCCCTCCAGCTCCTGTGTGTAAGATATGTGACCTGAAAGCAGTATGCGAGATGGATTGGAAGGTTAAATTCTGGAGAGACGGAGACCAGTTAAAAACTGTGATAACAGTCCAAGAAATAGTATGCTAGAGTAGCTAGCGCCAGAGCTAGAAAGGAGGAGAAAATGGAGTCATTTAATAAAGACCAAGAGCATAATTCAATATAGGAGATGGTAAGGGAGAGTGGGAATTCAAAGACTCACTTATCTGATCATGGAGAGAGTTTTATGAAATCAAGAGGAAGCCTAGAAGATATCATAACGCATTTAAGAATTTTCAGAGTTTTCTAACATATAAAAATGTACTGTATTTTTCTTTACCCACCCTTCATTTTGATTATCAGAAGCTGTAAAAAAAGAATTAACTGCTTCCTGGCTCTGAGCTATGTGTCGATCATACTCTGCTTGAGTTTCTGAGGCAGAGTTCCCCAACTTAAGTTATACAGAACTAACAGGAAGAATTTAACTTTCACAGAATCGACTCACTTCCCTTTTGTATATTTCTGTCACAGAGCAATTAATAAAGTGTTTTCTAAGACTCTGACCCTTAGCTAGGAAAAAGACCCCTACTCACCAGCCATAGATAATAGGCTTAGTATCTTCCTACTGCCTTGAAGGAGCACAATCTTGAAAATGAAAGTTACTGGGCATTTCCTTAGTACAGGAGGCTGGGCCTTCTAACCAAAGACTGGGAAATTCCTGTTCAGAACTTCCGGGTTCACTGCCGGGAAATCCCCTGTAGTCAGCAAATGAATTTCCAAATCCTTTGGGAAGAAATGTTTATTCATTTTGGAAGAAAAAAATTGAAATGACAAGACATTTTCTGACCTATGTTGGCACCTCTGTTTTTTTTTTTCCCTTTCCTCACTCTCCTACACCTTGTTTTGTTTGTTCTCTCTCAGATATCTCAGTGTTTAAAGGACTTAAAACTAACAAGTCTTATTTTGTTTCAGGATAAGGGTTATCTGAATAACTTTTGCTTCTTTTTTAACTGTGCTAATAATGTCAATATCATCTCCTCTCTGTCTCCCTGTCATTTTAAACATTTATTGGAAATAAGTTCTGAATACTTGTCTTCATTTAATGCTTTTCTTTTACTGCCTAAGCTTCCTTAACATTTAAATTTTAATGAAAGTGACAGTTCCTCTTTTTGTTATATTCTGAACAAAGACTGACCATAGAAACACTGTCAAGATGTAGTACAATGATCCTGTGATAATACAAAAGAGATCGATTCAGTTAGTGAAAGAAAAAAAAAATTGTGACATGCTCAACTTTGAAGATTTTTAAAAGGTCAGAAATTCTAGGTCCATCCATGTTGCTGCAAATCATACTACAGAAAATAAGTCAGAAAAGAAAGATAAATATCATATGATAGCACTTATATTTGGAATTGAAAGAAAGTGGTACAAATGCACTTTTTTATGAAACAGATGCAGAAAATAACCTTTTTTTTTTTTTTTTTTAATAAACTTATGTTTACCAAAAGCAAGCAGGGGGAGGCATAAATTAGGAGATTGAGATTAACATATATATAACTATACATAAAATAGATAATTAATAAAAACCTTCTTTTAGCACAGGGAACTCTATTCAATATTCTGTAATAACCTATGTGGGAAAATAATATAAAAAGAGTAGACATATTATGTGTATAACTGATTAATTTTGCTGTACACTTGAAACAGACAGAACACTGTAAGTCAACTATACTCCATATATGTGTGTGTACATACATATATATTCTAATAAAACATTGGAAAAAAATCCCAGTAAGTGTATATTTGACAAGTCCAAATAAAGCAACAAAATGGTCAGAAATTCATCTTCACTTTTAATGGGTTAGGATTAGAAAAGGCCCATATTTGCAAGTGAAAGAGTAGTTTTTTCTGGGTATAACCTTGCTAAGTGAAAATCTTACCCCAAACTCATAGAGATATTACTTTGTATACATCTCACCCTGGCATTTATTTATAGGCATTATACTATATGCTGATTGTTTCATGTTTCTTGACTGTCTTGTCTTCTCAATGAGATGGTAAACTACTAGGTACCTAGATACACAATTATTTTGTGTTACTGAAATGCCTTAAGGAAGTGCTAGAATTGTATAAACAGTAGTCATGACTGCCAGTGACAAACTCTGAGGTTTTGGATAAGTTACTTATCACATTACCTTCTCTGAATATCTCCCGTTGAACTCAAAATTTGTTGAGGTCAGGTACCTACTGTAATTTATATCTGTATCCCTAAAGCAGAAAATCTAGCAAATGTTTGCTAGAAAGAATGGTGTGAGTAGCAAGTTCAATTCGTATGAAATCTGAAGACTTCAAACCTATTATTTGCTCCAAATTCCACCTCCCTACCTTCTCAGAGTGGTGAAAAAGAAACTGATGACCTTTCATTTCTATTTCAAATTTATTGAAATGTTTAAGGAAATGTCTGTTTTCTGCCAACAGGATTCCAAAACAGTTATAGAATGACAGAACTCCTGGCTTCCTATGGAAAAGGGAGAGAAAATAAAACAAGCGTCAAAAAAGAATTCTGCTAAAAGAAATGCAAGTTATAAAAATGACTCCACCAAGTGGTTACACACACTCATAAGAATGAAGAGCCTGTGTTATGTCTCAATATTGCCCTGCTGACGCAAAGGGGAGGAACATCTAAAACTGAGCTTTCATCTTCTTCTGGCCTAATCTCAGTCTATATCAGCTAACCTTGAGAAATGGCCATCTACCTCTGCAGAACTTTGAGGGAAGTGTAGTGTGCCCTGTACTAACAAGCAGAAAGGCTTTCATTATCCTTTCATTATCCCCTGTTTATTATACTAGAACTTGAGATCTTCACTAGGAGGGTAGTTCAGTACTCCTCCCCCAATTTTGCTCCATCCCTACCACACATACATCTGTACTTACAGCTTACTTACTTTAATATCCTGGAAAGAGGTAGAAACATCTTGTCAAAGTCACTCTTTCAGTGGTGGGCATCTGTACCTTACCATCTGGCAGCTCAAATGAAAATCGAACCTAAAAGGAAAATAAATTCTACAGATTTCCCACCCACGCCCCCCCACTCCCCGCTCCAAGTGGAAGGATTTGCACTTATGTTGGAAAAATAGTAGCAAAATAAATGATTAAAACAAAAAGGTTTTGCCTCTATACAAATCAGCAGTATGCATGTCTAAGGATGGACTAACCATACTTTTAAAATCTACTGAATCTAATAGTTTTGGACACAAGCAAATTAGAGTCCACTCATTTGTCTATTCTTTTCTAGGGTTTGTTTTCTAGATCATAATAGCTTGGAACTGGCTTCTGGGTTGGCTGACTCACCAAAGAAAACCTCAAAACTCATTTGAAAAGAAGGACATTTTTTAGAAGAAAACATGTCCAGAGCTGCTTTTTAGGTTGCCAGTTAGAACAAATAGGGAGGTAGCATTTCAGAAGTATCTAGCACCTACCTTTCGGAAAATTTCCTCCAGGTCACAGGACCAGGCATATTCTTGAAAATTTTTGATGAGTTTAATAATAAAAAGAGAGCCCAATATGGGATGTCTCCAGGAAACATTATCTATGAAGAAAACACATTTCAAATTTCATGCAAGGTCTCTCACTTGGCTACAGAAATGAAGTCCTAGGATTTCTGTTCCAGCTAAAGCAGACTGTTGAGTTTATGCTATTTCTTACAGACTGTATGCCATTTTTAAGTGACTCTATTCAACATTCAGTGTGAATATTTTCAGATACTTGAAAGTTTTTAAAGCCATATGAAGAATGCTGTATATGGTACAGATGTTATGCAGCATAATCTTTGAGATTCAAAGAACCATAAATATAGTAGAGAAGGAAAGTCAGGATGGAATGGAAGGGAATAACTGGGCCTTGAGGAACAAATACCTGAGTGTGGATCCTAAGAGTGCCACTGACAGACTTGAGTTAAGTTAATTATACACTCTGAAATGCAGGCCTTGACTGTAATAGGTAGGGTAATAATTTCTGCCCCCAAAATAAATTTGCATATTAGATGTAAATGCATTGCAAGGATCTGGAAGAATATACAAATGTAGTATCCAGTTTATACAAGGAAATCATATTAATAATATTTCTTTAAATTTATCTACCTTCTGATTTAATAAAAATCAAATAATATTGATCATAAAGCATTTAGACAAAGAAATTACTAATTAAATTTGAAAATGGTACCAAGAGAAAAGAAGTCCAACCTAGAAAAGATTTAAGAGGGAAAGATCATAAGACAAAACACTCATAGAAAAGACATATTAAAAAAGAATAGTTATACAAAATAGTAGGACTTAGAAGTTATAAAGCCATTTTTAAATTATGTAAAGGAATATATAGGAAAAATATCAAAATATTTTAGCCAATAGAAATGGTAATAAAATGCATACTAGTAATAAATTAAAATCCTATCTAAAACTACAGCTGTCTTAATGAAGATGGTTTCAATTAAAGGAAGTAGGTGGGACAGAGTTGCATGCCAATATCTCTTCAAGTTTTTTGTGAAATTAGTTAGAGACCAATCACTTTTCTTCATAAGAGTACTACAATGTAATTGGAATTAATACCAGAGGATATAAAGCTAGATTTACTCATAGAATCTCAAGACAACTGAACTGGAGTTTCTACAAATCATCTGGAAGGAGCATGAGGAAAGTGAAAGAAAACAAGACAAAAATCAACAAGATAGATTATCAAGAAGCCAGGGGGCTCATAAAGGTTATAATACCTAGAGGTAAATCTTTGTGGAATACTGGAATCAATTTTTTTTAATAGCTACATCTAGTATTAAAGTCTGTTAAATACACTCAAATTGTAAATGTATGGAGGCTTTCCCTAGTGTCATTGTTTTCATTTTTGAAAAAAATTGATTTCTACATCAAGATATGGTCAACACAATGCAAAATCATGTCTCCTGAGAGATGGTACCTCATTATAGAAGAAAATCTGTAAGTTAAACTATTTGATCACAGGCAAATCCTTAAGGCTGGAAGTAATCAAGAGAATGTTAATGTCCAAGAAATTCCGAACTATAGTGGATGACTTTTATTTAAACCTGGATATGGAAAGTAACTCAAGGTAAAAGCTTGAATTAAGCTACAACATAGAAACATCATTAATAGTGGCAATCATTTAAAATGTGCTTTATTCTATGTTATGCTTACTTAACATTTCATATTTATTACTAAAATGTTTTAAGCCTTATGGCAATGATATTTGTATTCACATATATTAGTGAGGAATTCAAAGAAAGCCCAAAGAAGCTAAGTAACTGGAACTAATTTACAAAGCACTAAGTGACAGAGTCAGAATATAATTGGCAGTACTCATAATCCAAAATCTAGATTTAGAATCATTCAGGTTTTTTTTTTTTTTCTGTTTCATAAACTCCACACTTCTGGTTGAAATGCCTTTACCATAGGGACTCAATATACTTTGTTTTCTTTTCTGCCTCTCCCCTTTATAAATACTCTTCTATAAATACATGTGTAGGCAAATTGAAATGTTAAGTGATGTCAAGATGTGGACCTATCTATCTATTCCTAACAGTACAACAATCATTT